CCCGTTGTTATTATCGATTTTTGTTTTATATATCCTCCTAGAATCGTTTGCCGTTTTTCCTAATCTAGTCTTAGGAGACTCCTTTAGGATAGGGGTATTCCGGTTCTACGAATTTAACTTATTTCTATATTTTAGGATCCCTTCGTTATATTATTATAAGGGTCTTCTTTAGTAGCTTTAGGAACTATCCGGTACCGTTCTTATCGCTTAAGTATACTATATATTCGTCGTCGTAGTATATAGTCTAACTAAGGAGTTTATGCTTTAGTTCCTATCTATTAGTAGCGTTTAGGTATTTCTTACCTTCTAGGGCTAGTGCTTAGTAGGTTTTCTTCTCCTTATGAGGTTATCTATATTCTTTAGAGTAATGTCTAGGTTTCCCGTAGTTAAAACACTTTCCTTTGCTTTTCTATGTTATATCTAGATCTATCCTACCTAGGTTAGTTATATAGGCGTAGGCAATAGGAGTTTCGCGCTTCTTTTTATAGTTAGCGCGTCGGTTAAAGTTATTCCTATAGGAAGGGTTCTAGTTTCCTCTTCCTTATTTCTTTTCTTAGCGTTGCGTATACTATCTATCGTCGATTCGTACTACTATAGCGATATAGTTTAAGAGGCCGTCGGGTCGATCTTCCTTATAAAGTTCGTCCTTAACTTCTTCCCTAAGTCCGTCGTAGAATCGCGATATAAGGGGTTTATCGTCCTATTTAAGTTTTAAGGTAACTTAACGGAATTTAGCAGTATAGTCCGATACTAAGGTCCTTTATCGGAGTTCTCGAAGTTTCTATTCGGCTTCTCGTTCTTCGTCGGTTGTTCCGAATACCTTCGTAATAGCTTCTTTAAATCCTTAGAAACTAGCAAAGACTTTGTCCGTTTCGCTATTTCGTTATGCTAGTTAGTTATCGAGATAGTCCCTTATAATAGGTCTAAACTAAGCGAGTGCCGTTCTAGATAAACAATTTCCTACGTAGAGTACCTTTTTAACCGGGTTTAAAAGTTTTATCAGGTAGAACCGGTAGTAGGCCTTAAGTTAGGTAAGAAAGTCTTAAAGAGTGCTATAAGTACCGTCGAATAGTCCTAGCTGCTTTAGTTTAACTGCTTCTCTAAGGTCCCTAACTTATCCGTTGCCTCCTCCGTTCCTAAGTAACTATACCTTATATCGAAGGGCGATAATTTCGCGTATTATATCCTAAGGCGATATAGTAGCTCTAGAGTTAGTTAATCTAGCTTACTATATAGGCATATTAATAGTTACGATATTACTTAAAGTAACGCGGTATTATACTAAATAAGAGCTTTTAACGTATAACGACCGGTGTTATTCCTAAGGGATAAACCTATCGAGGGGTTTATATTAGTAGATATAATAGGGCGTAGTCTAAGCAATAATAAGTATATTATATTAGTAATAAGTCGGAGGTCATAGACCGTAGACTATAACTAGGTAATTGGAATTAGAGATAAATCGTAATAAAGATCTATATTAAAAGCTATCGAGCTATCTATCTAAAGGAGTATTCCGTTCCTTCCTTATATATCTCGAGAGCTTCCCTAGATCGCCGAGAGCACTAGGTGATCCCGTCGCCTAGGAGCGCTAGGGCGCTAGAGCGATCCTGCGATCCTAGCCGTAGAGCGTTAGAGCGCTAGAGTGACCCGTCGCTCTAAACTTAATTAGCCCGTCGGTCCGTCTAATATTCCTTGCTCCCCACGTCACGTGTCCTCGTGACATGTGCTGGTCCCCGCGGTTCGCTGGACCGTGGTCGTAATAAATATACGCCGATTAATAAGTTTAATTACTCTTATATATTATTTTCCTTAGTATTCCCTTACCTTTTTCTAGATAATAAAGCGGACTTTATTAAGCCTTAATTATACTTAGTTAATTATAAGATTTATATTAAGTACGCGATATACTAATATAATAAGCGTTTTACGAGCTACCTAACTTTTTACTTTATTACTTTTATTAACTTAATATAGTTAAAAGTATAAGCGCGGTTTAAATTCTTTATAAAGTAATATAATAAGATATAGTAGCTACTTATATAAGAGTAGCTTATATAAGCGCTTAAATATAGCGGGGATCTTATAGTATAAGCGCTAATTAACTTAATTATAAGGTAAATAGTATTAATTTATAATATACGCCCCTTTTAAAATAAAAAGAGATAAGACCTTAAAGCTTATACTTATAATTATAGCTATCTTAGTATATTTATTATATTTAGCTTTATAGATTTATATTAATAGTATTATAGAGTAAGTAAAGGTATAGGCTTAGGTACGATCTATTAAAAGAAGGTTAATAATCTATATAGGGGAAAAGGAAGAGAAGTATAGGCCTAGCCTATATAAGCGTAGAGGCCGCTTATATATAGACTTAGCCTAGACCCTAGTCTAGGCCTATATAGGGCAAAAGCCCTTATATTATACCCTTACCTAGCTTTTAAAGAAGCGCGCCTTTAAATAATACCCGATACTACGCTTAAGTGGACGGAACCCTTATATAGACCACGCACGCCTAGTCGCGGAAAAAACGTTAGTAAATAATATATAATACCTTCCTAAGTAAGCTTCTTAGATAGACTATATTATTAGTAGGGGCCGCGCCCTAGGAGTCGGGCTTTAATACTTCTAGCTAAGGAGCAGAGGCAAGTAAAACGGCGTATAGCTAGCTTTAGTAAGCTTATAGTATCCCGCCCCCCCTATATCGGCGCACGGTAGTAGCTTCTAATACCGTAATATAGGGGACGGTACTCTAGTATATAAGGCTCCGCTCCCTCCTATATAGGGCTATATAGGCACTCCCTTTCGCTATAGTTATATTATATTAGCGGCCTTCTTATATCTTAGCCGCCCTTTTAGTCGCTATAGGCATACGTCCCGTCTATATAGCAGCTACTACCGCACGCGAGGGGACGCTAATAAAGCCCGTAGAGGCGTTACTAAGATTACTTATCGCTAGAGTCGCTATCGTCGAACCTAACCTCCTTTCCGTCCTAGCGCGTACGCCCCTCTACTACTTAGAGTGCGTTTACCCGCGCCTCCCGGCGCGGGCACTTTAAAAACTAATAGGATTTACTACCGTAGCCTATATAGCGACCCTCTTATCGCTACTTCTTTCTATCCTTAGTCCTTAAGGCGGAGATAGAGATATCTATAGTATTACTAGCGTTATCCTTTTCTTATACTATAGAAGAAGACGAAAAAAGAAACTTATTACTACTAAGCTCGCGAAAAAGGCGGATAAGATCGATATATATATCTAGTAGTATAGACCTTTCGCTTAGATAGGTATACTAATCCGAATTTAAGCTCGTAATAAGGTAATTATACTTTACCGCGTCGGGCTAGTTATATACGTTTGCTCGATAAAGCACCTCTTCGAACTATATAAGGTAGGCCGGAATAGCTTTACTCCGCTTCTAATAGAGCGTTATAAGCTCTTAGCCTACCGACTTAGCTACGTTAGGTTCGCTATAATTAGTATAGAGCTTCGTAAGGAGGTTAGCTAGTCTATTTATATTAATACGTATAAATAGTAAGAGATACCTTTATAGGTATAGGGATAGGCTCGCGTAAAGATAGTTAAATTAAGCGTAGATATCCCCTATTACGGCGGTATTAGTATAGAGCTTCGCTTCTATATAAAGTAGCTATAGCTCGAGCTCTATAGAGGAGCCGTCGAACTTACTAAGGTACGGTAATACCGCTCTTAGTCGTGCGGAGCCCTACTATTATAAGAGGCTCTTAATTGCCTAGGCGAACTAAGTATTACGTTCGCCTTAATTTTACGACTATAAGAGTGCGGATATTTCGCGTGCGTATATACCGGCGCGGGCGGTTTAACTAGACTAGGTAATTAAACGTTAGCTTTAAAGGTAGCTAAAAATAGCTATTCTATATACGGGGATATAGAGAGGGTAAAATAAAGGGTAGATTATACTATTACGGAGTAGGTAGAGGCGTAGGCTTAGGTGCGGTCTATTAAAAGAAGGTTAATAATCTATAAAGGGGAAAAGGAAGAGAAGTACGGGCCTAGCCTATATAGGCGCGGAGGCCGCTTATATATAGACTTAGCCTAGACCCTAGTCTAGGCCTATATAGGGCAAAAGCCCTTATAAATAGAGCCTTTATTAATATATATCTTAGTATAAAGAATAGCTAGGTATATCTAAAATAAAGAAAATAGCTTTATTAAAGTACTTATTATAGTAAAATCCTTATATTACTACTTTTTACTTCTACCGCTAATACTACCTTTTTTAAGATATTATATTAAGGAAGAAGTTTAATATATTAAACTACTAAGACTTATATAAATAATAAGGGTATAGTAGTCTATATAACTATAGTCTATATTAGATAAAGAATTACTTAATAGCCGATATAGAGGACGAGGCCGCTCGCGATATATTTACGCGTATATAGGGCTTCTATATCGCTACTATAAATCCCGAGCTAAGTAGGACTACGCCTTAGGGGGAGGGTAATCCGCTAAGTATAGATCCGCCAGGCGTAGAGATAACCTTCCTACGGCTCTCGTAAATCGTTAACCGCTACTAGCGCTATAGGTGCAATACCACGTACTGCCTGCGTGTCAGAAAAAGAAGCGACGACCTGGCGAGGGATATGAAAGGGGCTGTGATGTAACGCTAGTTACGTAACATACTGCGAGCCTGCGAGCCTTTGGCGCGCTGGCCCCCTATGTCATAGTCCTACGGGCTGCATACGCGTAATAAATAAATGAAAACCCCCCGCGAAGTGTCAGACATTTAGCTCCACACGGGTCAGAGATGGCATCAGGCAATTGATGAGAATTATCTAAAGAACAAGAAATGAATAAACGAACGCACGGAGTTGTGCAGCTCTTTATACACAAATAAAAGGTCCGTCGCGTAATTACGCAGTAGCGGTTGCCTAGCAGGCAACAGCGGCGTTGCGAGTAACATCGCCACTTCATGAATAATCATCCTAGGCAGGCTTGATATGCGACACGAAGCTCACGGCCCTGTCGACGGCGCCCTGCAGAGCGCCCCATCCGGCTGTTCGACGAACTGCTCGGCGCCGACGCACGTCGGACAGTAGAACACATGATTGGGGTCATACTTTTTCTTGGCAGCCAGGTGAATCTGGTAGTTGGCCTCACCGTAAAAGGTAGTCATGTACTCGGGGTCGCCACCATCGCCCTCGTTCATGTATCCTCCCGTGCTAGGGGCGAGCTGCTTGAGGGCCTTGCCCTTGGTAAAGGTAATGTCGTCGGCGATGGCCTTGCGCTCGGCCGCTGTGAGTGTCTGAGTGTGATTGATGTTTCGCATGGCGATGTGCACCATGGGACATGTACGCCAGGCAGGGTGCAGGCCCGATGACTGGTCGGCGGCGTCTTCAAAGACCTTGCCGCCCGAGAGAAGCAGGATGAGGTTAAGGTTATCCTCTCCAAGTGGGCCGCTCACAGTCTCGACCGTGTTGCGGACGCGAACGGGGTCCGCGACCGACTGGTTGTCCAGCATGCGAGACGTCATCAGCAACGTCTGGCCGGGGAAGAGACCTTTCCCTAGCTCGGCCTCGTAAAAGGACCAATAGTCGCCGTAAGTTATGAAGTTGTCGTTAATAACGTTAAGTTGGCCCTGAAATGAAGCCAGCTTCTCGCGCACGGGCCCGTATGTTTGGTTTGCCCTTTCTAGCCCTTCGCCCATCATGTATAGATTGTGGTAGTAAAAGCCGCGGTTCCAAACCACATAACCGGCATATCCAGCCTCATTGAGGGAAGGCAGAGCCTGCAACATGCCAGACGCAAAGTCTAGGATATGCGTGCCGTTTGCAGGCGCCCCCTTCGGCATCATTATAAGCTTATGAGCCCTTAGCTTCTTGTCGTTGGGATAAGCCTTAACTTTGGTGCTAAGGACAATGCCGTAGCCAGGACCACCGCCGCGCAGGGACTTAAAGAGATCAGCGTTCTCGCAGTGGTTAGCGATGACGACGCTGCCGTCGGCGAGCATGACCTCGGCCTCGAGCAGTTGGTCGGCGCCGAGCCCGTAGGTCCGCGTCGCCGGTCCATGACCGCCGCCAAACAGCCAGCCTCCGTTGGCACCGACGGTCGCGTGGCCACCGCTTACGACGACGACGTTTAGCTCCTTTGCCTTTTTGTTGACATCACCCCACTGGTACATTCCGTTAATGTGGAAGGCGTTATGAGTCCAGTTTGACCTGCTGCACTGGGTAGCTGACGTGAAGTTGGGCTGAAATATGATATCGTTGCGGAGGTTGCGCACCCAGATAGCCAGGCTTCCAAAGCCGTCGGAGCGCCCGATTAGATCGTGCCCCGTGTTTGCGACGGTGAGCCGAAGGTTATTGTCTTGGGAAAATTTAAGAGTCGCATTGATATACTGGCGGTCTGTTGCGTCGACGGCGTATTGGGGGAGCTTCCCCAGCGTGCAGGTCCCGGCAGTCTGGTTTGCATTACGAGGCGGGCAAGTCATGTTTAACGGATAGTATCTACCTAGGGGCTGTGCTGTCTGAAAGGCGTCATTTGTCCACATTTCTTCGGCCTTCTCGCATTGCCCGACATCGCGGGAGTCGCCGTAACAAGATTGTGCGAGAGGAACAGACTTGATGAGATTGCCGCCAACCGTGGTGTTAAAGGCGGCCCATGCCTCGTTCGATGGCCAACACGGTTGTCCGGGGACCTAAGCGGTGTTAGCAGGCCGATGCCCATAGTCACAGCAAACTTGAATATCCTCAGTTCCTCACGCATCTGCAGTTTTCAGGCGCCTGGGCCGTCGATCCGTCCGCGATCTGGGCTTTAGCCGACCCGGCAAGGACGGCCGAGGCCAGCGCAACGAGGGTATGGCTCCGCATGGCGGCGGCTTGACGAAAGGAGTGACAGTTGTCGAAAGGAGTGGCAGTTGTGCGAGTTTTGCACGAAAGAGTGGATTTTGCGACCTGGACGTTGAGACCGAGTTTCTTTCTCAATCCGACGACTTACTTGCTGTACTTTATGTAACAACAGCCATGGCCTGCTTTCTGGCAAGTCATGTACATCGGGGGCACTCTTCCTTGCCAAGGCCTAGGATCAGTCCAAGCAGTTAACTACCCGCATAAATCATGCTCTTTGAATTATTCTACATGCCGCATCCTCGCCCATATGTCAGAGAAATCACTCATGACAACTAGGTCTCCCCCGCGAGCTGCGTCATGTCATGACATGTGCCCTAACCAGGCCAGCGACGTAAGGCTCCTTTCCGTCTGTTACCCCACATTTATCTTAAGTAGCATTAAGCTTAATTACGGAGTAGCCCCATTCGGGTGACTAGAGATTCAACGGTTACTCATATAAGATCCACCTACGATCTGGAGATCTAGAACGTGTTGGGCAAGAGCGGGCGGCATAGGGCATGCACTAGCTGACTCTACCAAGACTCGGATGCTATGTCCTCTTTTGGTAGTCTGAGTTTCCAGTTTAGGGAGGCCGGGTTTGCCCATCCTACCAAGCACGTGTAACTTATTTGCAAGGGTCTGAGACTAGCATCAAGTAATTGCCAGTTAAACTGGCTACGGAGGGGCCTTTCAAAGGTTATAACTGGCAGTGTGGCGATCAACGCAACGTCAATCACGAGGTTGTCAACCAGGTTAATATCAACCAACTCAACCTAACTCAACGGAGCCGATTCTTACTAATCAACTAACTCAATATTATAAAGATATTAAGTTAGTTGCGTTAATAAAGGTTAATTAGGTATCGCCGCGATGTTCGTAAATTTTAGTACCGGGTAGCTTAGCCTAAATTACCTAGGGATTACTGCTTATTAGCCTTAAGGAGTACCTCTATCTATACCTAGGAATATTATATATTAATATACTATAACTTATAACTATAAATTAACTTATTTTAGGCTCGACGCGTTAACGCGTCCGATGCGATTCGTCTTTCTAGTACCAGCGTTAGCCTAGCCTCCCTTTATAACTCGCTTCTCTAGACCGTTACTTTCCCGCTCTATACGTTTAAAAAGTTTAGATTTCGAGGCTATAGATTTCGAACTACCTCCCTATTTTTACCGGCTCCCTTAACGCTAGCTCTATCTATACCCGAGCCGTCTATACTAGCCGAGGCCCGCGCTAATCGACGAGATAAAGATCGATTATTCTAATATTTCCGTGGTTATATATAGGCCTAGCGAAGCTAAAATACGAAATTATAGGTATAGGAATATAGCTTTAATATCGAAAAGGGCTTAGATCGGCGATAGGTTTATAAAATTTATATTAAATAAAATAGGCCGAAGCCTAGTACTATAATTTCTATTAGCACTTAAAACGCTAAGCGGTATCTCTAGGACTATTATAAGATCTAAGATCCCTTTAGAAAGCGTTCTATACTAGAGCCTTAAAAGAAACCGTCTATAGGATACTAGACGATAACGGATGCCTTTAGCCTTAATCTAAACGCGCCTTAAGAGTAAGCTATTACGAATTACCTTATTAAAAGCTTTAATAGGAATGTCTTTTAACGTTTAGTAGTTAAATAGATCGTTAAGAGCAACCTATCGTTCTAAGAACCCGAAAATATAAGGCTATAGGCTATTTTCGAGTACCTTAACCTATTTATAATAAGTATAAATACCTATATTAGTTATAATACGGCTCGTAAGCGCGCTATTACCGAATTTAAAACGTATAAGGGGAAGTTTATCGAGGTATTAAGGCATTTACCTAGGTTAATATATATCTCGTTCGATAGTTAGAGATCGTAGAATAAGTATGCTCTTTATAGCGTTATATACTTCTTTTAAAATAAGGACGGTAAGTCCTATAAGCTTATTCTTAGAGTCCCTAAGCTAATAGTTCGATACTTAGGGGCTAATATTAAATACGAGATTATCGAAATACTTAAGTTATATAAGATCCTAAACGAGAAAATAAGGTACTTTACTTATACTTAATAACGTATTAAATAATAATACTATAATAAATACTATTAAGGAGAGATTTAGGTTCTTTAATAAGGAACTAAGGGGCTATTACTTTAGCTATATAATTAATCCTATAGTTAAAGCTATTCTCTTTAAAAAGGATATTAATATATTTAAATCCTAGCTATAATATAAAGACGTCTTAGCTATAACTAAGTATAAGCTTTAGCGGAAGAAAGGCCTAGTTAATAAGCTCTATAATCTTATAGTTACGGTCTACTAATCTAATATACTTACCGCGCTTCTCTATAGTATCTAATTGCTAGAGTTCGTTATATCTAAGGACCTAAGTATAAGAATTCGGAAGCCCCTTAATATAGTTATCGATAACGAAACGCGCTAGCTATTATAGCTATATATAATCTAGCGGGCCTTTAAGCTTCGACCTTAACTTAAGACGCTAGTCCTAAAGTATAAGTAAGAATAGGAAAAAGATAATAAGTCGAAGTAGTTAAAGTAGATTAAGGTAAGCGCTATTATACCTACTATATATTAAGATAAGAATAAACTAAATAATAAGGACTAGTCTATTCTAGAGGTATTTAAGGATATCCTATAAAGCTTTAAGGATACTATTAAAGCGCTTAAAGGTAATAGGATTTAATAGAAGCGTAATTAAGGATATTTCGAGTCCTATAGTAACGTATAGGACGTAATTATAGGATATAAATTCCTACTAGTAGAATTAAAGAAGGCTAAAGCTAAGATCGATTAGTATATTAACCCTAAGTATTTTAGGGCTAATATTAATCTTAGCTAGAAGAAGCTTAATAAATACTATAATAAGCTAGATAAGACTTTAATATATTATATAGTACTAGCCCTATACCTTACTTATCGATAGGGTTATTTTAAGATAGTATAGTTTAGACGGCTAATATAAGTTTCTAAGGTAAAAGATATAGTATAGTCTATTTAAGACCGAGAATATAAGATATTAAATATCTTTATAGAGGATTATAATAAACTAGCTATAAAGCGTTAACGGATATAGTACTATTCTCCGTTTAAATAGAATAAGGATAAAGCCCGGATATGTCCTTATAAAGAAAACGATACTAATAAAGTAGAGGACGAGTATACTAGGTAGTAGAAGGACCTATTGCCTATAGATTACGATATTTATAATCCGCGTAAATATTAGTATACATAGCGGTTTAAGTACCCTAGGCTTTCGCGAATAGCTATAGACTTTCTAACGGTTTAGGCGATAAGCGTAGAGTGCGAAAAGCTATTCTCGGCGGCAGGTCGCATAGTAACGCCTCTTCGGAGTCGGCTAGAGGCAAGCACGATCGCTCTTTACTAGGTGCTACGATTATAGTTATATACGGGTATTATAGACGAAGTTAATCCGATACTATTAAATAAGGCGGATAAAGCAGTGACTAGGCAGCCGGTCGAGGAGAAGGTAGTAAGAGGATAGCTTCGGGGTTTGCTAATATAGATACGGGAGGAAGAGGCAGGGTAGGAGTAGAGTTGCGTTAGGTCGTTGGGCTCTAAGGTGGCGATCGAAGCACTAAGACGGGGCATAGGGAGCTAGTCAACTATCAACGCAACGCTAACTAACTCAACATAGGGTTAAGGTTAATTAACTTAACGGAGGAAAAGCTTATTAATCGGCCAACTTACTTAACTAAGGGCTGAGGTTGAGTTGGTTGCGTTGATCGCCACCCTGGCGGGCAGAAGGGCCTTCGTTGGATTTTCCGCCGCTCATAGACCTTTGGAGAGCTGCAAGAATAAGGGGAATGATAAGGACCGAGAAAAACAAGTGGATCGATGTCTTTGCTCCTCTGCCCTCCGTCAGAGTGTAGAACGGGCTTCCCAGGTCGAGCTTGTCTGTGACCCCGGATGTGAGCTCCAGTAAGTCATCCCAGAAGTCCTTTGCGTGTAATATTGACCGTCTCGGGGCATCCGTCTGCTAGGCTGGCTCATGCACCTTCCTCCTCGTCGGGGCTGTGGTCCGCTCTTGCTTGCTTGGCTGATGCCTGCGAGCCAATGTCTACCAGCCGCCCAAGTCTTTGACCAACCCTCGCATGTATGGTTGGATACCTTGACCAGGATGCCTACAGCCTCTGCATCTACACACCGATCACGGCCGCCATTTATCCAAATTCACCTGCAGTCACTTTCCTTCCTGATCCCGCCCTTTGCCACAAAGGCAGCCTCCCTGCAAGCGTCACCACCTCCCGGTACTTCCAATATATATGCACATATATTGCCCTGCGTCGGGCTAAGCTGAGGGGGTAGAGATCAACGCGTGATCCTGCTTCACATCCACCCCCTGACCCTCACTACAGGGGATCCTGCGGGCTAGTCTGCGTGATTTAGGTCCGTCCTTGCTCCTCCTCAGTAGTTGGCTGCTGATGAAGTTAGAGAGGGGACGACCGGCGGGTGGTCGCATCATCTGTTGGAAGGGTGGCCAGAGAGGAAGGCCAACCGTTAGGCATTCCCTCTCAGGGGTGGCTCGCAGGCATCAGCCAAGCACTAGTGAATCACAGTTTCTTGGACCTTCCTTGTAGGTCTGGATGCTAGTTTCTAAAAGGCAAGGGCTGGGACCTGCAAAGAAATCCGGGTACACGTGCTGAGATACATACTTACTGTAGACCGCAAAATGTCAGGAGGCAGCTTAATCGAGCTACACGTCTTCATGCGCCTCTCTGACCGTCCACTCCGGCCGATCGAGGGGCAGCGATTTACGAAGTACAATAGAGTGTGGCACGGTCTGGCGCGGTCTGGCACGGAATGCTTAGTGGCTCAAGATTACCTCTAACTTGAATGTTGATAGCCTATTTTGTAGTGTTCGCTACTACGACGGCGTATGGCAATGTAGCTACAGCGCGAGAGAGTAGTAGCCGGTTTTAAAGTACAAGTTTACCGTACTGGATGGAGAATGGCCGGTAGCCGAGCATTCTATTCTGTAAAATACTTCGTACATGGGGTCATATCACGCTTTCCCATGCGCCGCGCCTCTGCGTTGCGACATGTCTTGTTGCACTCAGGATACGTATCATTTGTACTTTACACGTCACGGATTCTATAACAGGACTGTTTCCCTTTGCTTAAGCCACTACCCCTTTTCTTATGCATATCTGCAATCTGTCCTCATTAGTTTATGCGTCGTTCCCTGAACTCTTCTACTCTCCTTAAATCATAAATAGGGTTCTGGCTCACTCCTTCTTAGATAGAACAGACGAACCTCATTTTACATGTTGACCCTTACCTTTCCAAAACCTGCGAGATGTCTCCATCATTCCCGAAATATTGAAATAAACCGGGTTGCGCCACTTCATAAAGTGCCCGAGTGACTCGATCATGCTTTGAGTATCCCAAAGGCTAGCACGCGCAGTGGCTTTCGCCCTGATGATGGCCTCCGGTGTCTATTGACGCCGACGTCTACGCCGGCCCCGGCCCCGGCTCCGACCCCGACCCCGACTCCTGCGCCGGACAGCGTTATGCACGGAGCAGGTAGTTTGAGAAGCGAGGCGTTCATCTCAACCATTTGCAGAATGCTATCCTCGTCGGGCTGGCGCAGCGGGCTATTCTTCTCAAGATAGTCCGTATTAGAACCAACTTCTGCTTGAAAATCGCTACGTTCCTTTTCGATAACGTCGGCAGGAGGCAAATACTTGCCGCCGCGTGCGTTGTAGAGTCTGACCCAGTTATCTATAATGGTCTTCATCCCACGTTCATACCCGTCGATGAACTGCTTATTATAGTCGTTGGCTTCATCGCGTACCCACTTCACGGTGAGACCCGGGAATTTCTTGATAAAGCGAGTCTTGATATCCGCAACTTGGGAACATATCGCTGCGTCGATCTTGTCCAACTGGGTAGGAATGTCTCTATCGACCTTGCCTTTATCCTGGCTGTCTGGTAAAGGGCTACTGCCGTTGACAGAATGTACGAGGGACTTGGCTGTTATGATCCTGCCTCTGGCGTCAGAGGCTGCGGATAAAATGGCCGCCACTTCTGTTCCGTATCGATCGCTCAATAAAGATGAAAACTGGTCCGACTTGAGATAGTTGGTAATATTCCGGTAGTGTTTGTCCCACGCCGTGTCCCGACGGCTTTGTAGGTTCTGCGGGTCTTGTTTCTCGTGAAACTCAACAACAGATCCGATCGATCGCAATAGTAACCCGACCGGCGCCAACGGCGTAAAGAGGAGGGTTTCACCGACAAAACATAGGCTAGTGCTGGCCACTCCGACTTCCCCATTCTCGTCGTCGGCCGCGGCCTTGGTGGCGCAGCCCACCACAGGGAGAATCGACGTCCCTGCCGCAACCTTCTCTAAGGTACTTGATTCGCTTGTGAAGACGTCGAATACGTCTTTGAAATAAAGGGGCAGTGTAACAAGCGTCAGCGCAATCGCGCCCTTGGCACCCTTGGCGCCTGATACCCTCTTCGCCGCCCATGACTTGTCCTTGAGAGGCGAATAGCCTTTAAACTGTGCACGTAGCTCTGAAAATGACTGCTTGCCATTCTTAAGCAGGTCACTTACGCCAAACCTAGACATGAGGCTCGCGAATTCGGATTCCGCGATTTTATCTGCCAACTGCACCAGCTCTTCTTCCGCAGCAGGAAGGCCATTCGGGGGGGCGACGTCTTTGGGAATGCCTTCACCGGGCGCAAGGACATCTTCTTTTGGCAAGGCTTCTTTGGCCAGGTTGGGCTCTTCAGGGGTTGTGGGCCGCGGATTCACCACCTCATTGGCCTCGGGATCCGCGATGCTCCCGTCTTCGTTCACACAGACTGAGCCGTCTCTGCGCGAAATGACGCAGTTCTTTGGTGTATTCCCGGGCCGTTTCGGACGCCCGTCCTTCCCAGTGGTAGGAGCTGCGGGAGGCGGCAGTGGCTTTTTAATGACTCCATCGCTGCCAAACTCGGCAATGGCCGCATTTTCTTGCTCAACTTGCTGTATCGGCAATTCTGGATCCTGCACCAGCCTGCATCTCTCGAAACCGTAGTCGAGAGCCTTGGCGGAGAATGACGACACGTCAAACTCTGGTACCAACTTGTTGCTTTGCAGACGGCGTATCGCTGATTGCACCCAGTCGGCACAACTCTCTCCAGCGGAACAGGGTATTTTAACGTCTTGGAGCATATCCTTGACTTGGTTTGTCGACACCTGCGCCTCTCCGATGTGAATTCTCGCCTGGAGAGTGACAGATTTGCTGGGCTGGACGTTGTACTTGTACTGAAACTTGAAGCCCGGGGCCTCTCCCGGCTTGGGACGATTCCATTCAAAGGACCCTTTCGGGCCTATTCGAATTTCAAACCCGTTGGAGGCATCGAAAGAATCTACAAACTGACCCTTAGTACCCTTTGGGCTAGCATCAACCGTCCAGTGGAAATATTTTAGATCCTTCTCTTCGACTGCCTTGGCAAAGGTGCTATAGTCGGGGCGGCGGAATAGTGAAACGGTTAAATCCTTGGCCTCTACCCGAGCTGGGTCGAGAGGCAGGACTCGCGGCGGTGCGGCCAGGGCGACACTGGACCATTGAAGCCAAAGCAGAAGGGGAAGGACGATGGCGAAAAGATGCCGTAGCATAATGATTAGGCCGGATAGGCGCTAGGTTATGAGGTAAAGAACGATGTTAGAGTTGACAAGAAAAGAAGCCAACCTGGAAAAGCTGGGATCTAGGATCTTTATACTAAGTACACTTTCGAAAAGAGTCTCGATTCGCACGCACTTAAGTCTCCCAATCCGTATATAAATCCCGGGCCCCGCGTTCAGCCAAAAGTGTCTTGCATAATTCCACTAAACTTATACGCACTAGATGCCCCCAGGAAACCAGCCAAGTTCAATTATCAATTTTAGGAAGGAGTGGCCATAGCAGACTGCCTTTCTAAGTAGGATGCGACTCGTGTTCTGCAGGCCAAGGCCCACGTGGCTTTCAGGCGTAAGAGTGGCCGCCACTCTCTCTCCACACATACTTCATATAGGCGTGATATCACATATACCACTCCGTTATGCAAATGAGGGCATCCGGATTAGGAGTGGTGATAGAAGTTATTACGTACCCTACTTATTGTAACATACTATCTATCTCTAACCTTATATAGATGCTAGAGATCTATACTAGCAATATACCTGAAGTATTTAAGTAAAGTTTTTTTTTTAGCTTTTTCTCTAAGTACGATATATTTTCGTACTTATTATATAGAGTAAGTTAAGCGCTTTAAGATTGATATTTTTTTTAAGAGGGTTCGAATATAGTACCTTCAGATATATATAGCTACTGGAAGTTATAGGAATAGAATATTCCTTCCGCGCTTATAACTGTTATATATACCACTCTTATGCAAAATGAGGGTACCCCAGATTAGGAGTGGTAGAAGTTATCACGTACCCTGCTGGTGGTAATACATGAGCATTTAGAAGGTATGGATACTTGCCAGGCTGGGCGTGGTATAAGTAGGCGGGGCGGATTGGCGGCAGGCTGTACAGTGGATCTGCAAAAGTGACGAGCAAATCCCAGTCCTTACAGACCCCCCTTATTAATCGTCCTATGCGCGTTTTTTATCCGGCCTGTGTGTAGCCCGTCTTGGCCTACTAGGGGGGCCTTAAAGTCGGCCAATCCCCGTGACAGTCAAGTCGGCCAATCCCCGTGACAGGGAGCTGTCACGGGGATTGGCCGACTTTAAAGCCCCCCTAGTAGCTTATACCGACCCACTTTTTATAAATGCAGACTATACTTCGTAGATTAGTAATATAAGTAATATCTTAATTAGGCAAGAATAAATAAACTTATTAACCCTTTTAGATTATTAGCCTAGTAAGGGCTTATACTGTCGCGAAGCGTGGCCTGATTTCGTAGTTCTCGGAGATATCCCTTGGCACGAGGGACCTAGGAAGCTGAAAAACAGGTTTTAAAGAAGGAGCTAAAAGGAGGTGCAGAGAGGAGGGTGGGGGCAAGAGGGGAAGCAGAAGTAGCGATGGCTTCCTATAGAGTTAGCGAGAGATAAGACGGATATGCTAGCAACGGCTAGAAAGGAGGGGAAAAACCAGTAAAAAGCTTAGTAGTTAAAAGGATATTAATAGCTTCTTTAAGTAGGATCTTCTTTATTAATTAAGATACTAGATAGGTATAAAGAGGGGCGTTAGATAGAGGAAAGAAGGATAATTAAGGTAATATAATAATTACTCCCTTACTATAATTACTGCCCCTATAAGAATTAAATATCTCTGCCCTACCTATCTAACCCCTTACTTCTATATTTACCTTCGTATATTTTATATATACTTCTTATATCTCTCTTTACGAGAAAAAGGGGTTTAAGGTTTATTAGGGATTATAGCTAGGCTTATAATCTAAGGATAGTCTCTATAGGTATATATAGCTACCTACTTTTACTCCTTTAAATAGATAGCTCTCTAGCTTTTAATATAATTATTATAATCTTTATTATAATCTTATCTTTAATTCTAATTACTTAATTATATAGTTATAGTCTATAGTTTATAACCTTTAACTTATTACTAACGTAATATACTTATTATTACTTAGACTACGCCTTATTATATCTATTAATATAAACCCCTTAATAGGTTTATCCCTTAGGAATAATACTAATTATTATATATTAAAAGCTCTTATTTAATATAATACTATATTCTTTAAGTAATATTATAACTATTAATATACCTATATAGTAAGCTAGATTAACTAACTCTAGAAATACTATATTGCCTTAAGATATAATACGCGAGATTATTACTAAAGCCTATAAGAGTCGTAGAGGATATAGAGGTAGTAGCTAAACTCTAGCAGTGCCTTTATCTCTCGATAGAGCTTTCTTATTATACTATATATATCTATATATATAGCATTTATCTGCGAGAATTCGTCCCTAAATATATCGATAAGGATTAGCTTAATAAGGCTTAAGGTTATTAGTACTATATAGTTATAATCGTTAGTATAGATAGTCGTTAATAAAACGCGATTAAGTTAGGAATCTAAATAGATATATTTATAATTCGATTGCTTAAGAAATCCTCCGAGGCATCGAATATAACGTTAAGGTATAGAGCCTTATCTAGAAGATCCTTAACTCGTTGCCGATATTCTAGGTAGACCGAGTTAAGAAATAAAGCTATGCGATTGCTATCTAGCGGCTTATATACCGGATTAAGTATATATAGTAACTTCCTAGTCTTAAGGTCCTTATAGAGGAAATAGGGTTTACTAGAAGTAAAAGTAGCAATAGTAGCTTAGCGATCTAAGGCGTCCTTAGACGATTTACTAATACTTTTTAGCTTAGTATTAATAAGTAGCTATTAAATATAAATAGCTTTATAGAGTTCTTAGTATAGTCTATATTACGTTTAAAGGTATCGAAGCTATTTAAAAGTATGCTTTACTATACTCTTTAAGTAAAGATTATAGGTTATATAGTCTAGCGTAAAGCTATTTCCTAGAGCGGGCTAAAAATACTTATCTACGCTATAAAGTTTAGGACGGCCTCCCTTATTTATTATCCTAATCTAATAAATAGTATACTTAGTAATATTTACTAGAGAACTAGTTCGCTAAAAAAAAATCTATTAAATAGCTTACGACCGAATAAAGTACTAAGTTTAATATAATAATTTTATATATAGGCCCTTAATAGGATTACTATTTTAGGAAGATACTAATCTTAATTAAGAAGGATATTTATAACGGTAAATTCTTTTAGGATTTTTATATTAGTTAGTAAGTTAGGGTTTATAACGTTAAAAAGGTATCCCTACCTTACGTAGGGTTTCTACTCGTCGCCTAAAAGCTATGTTCTAAATAAGTACCTTAGAGAAGTGCTCGCTTAAGACTATCGGCTCCTCTAGCCTTAACCTCTATATTATAGAGAGTATCTAGGCGTCTAAACGCGCCCTAGTTACCTATACGAATAAAGTAATAATTAGATCTAAAACTAGGGGGGACGACGAGTTTACCGCTAATAACTATAGTTCTAATAGTAGTAGCAAGCTAAGCGTAGATTCGTAGCTGTTTTAGCGTACTAAACCCTATCCTAGTAAAAGGCGGTAGTAATTACTAACTACGCGTATATTAGAAAGTATAAGAGAGCAATAACTAACCTTAGATAAGCGTAGTAGTAGGACGCTTCGATCTAATATTTAATATATCTAGCTATATATAACCATAGGAGAGCCCCGGCACTCTATCGTTATAAACGACTCGCCGTAGTATACTTACGGCTAAGTTAACTAACTCTCTTAGATTAGAAATAGTGCTAGAAAGGCTATAGGGGGCATTTATAGGTAAAAACGTATTAAACCACTAGTATATATCGTATAAATCGGTTAATATAAGGCAGTTCCCCGATAAGTCTTATATAAAAGCAACTAAGGGTGTTAATACTAGCTTATAGAATTAATATTTTATAGGGGAGGCATTAAAGGACCGCTACTATTCTATAGGCTAGTAAAGATATTTAAATTTAATACTCTTCTATAGCCGGTCGCTTGCTCCTCCGAAATATATAAGCACGCTACCTCTTATACCTTTACCTAGAGGCTTACTATCTTTACTTAGGCGATCGAAGCTATATATCCTTCCTTCCGGGGATTTTATTATAGTTCCTCCGCTCGTGCTATCTAGTATATCGTAATAAGCCTAGAAGAGAACGCTAGGAGAACTTTAAGGTAATTTAAATAGGCTTACGAAGGGGAAGGCCGAACCCTAGTTTAATTCGTTTATCTTATCCGCTATCGATAGAACCGTTGTCCTCTACTCGATAGTAAGTGTCGGATATAGCGACTTAAAATAAAAGTCTAGGAGGACGATTCTCCTTCCCGTCGCTATAAGAGGAAGAGTTATAAAGATCGCTAGGTATAAGCACTAGATATGCATCTGCTATAGGTAACTCCGTAATCTCGCCTTATACCTATTTATTGCAATAGCCTACGCCGTTATATTAAGTTTCGGTATTATAAACCTCCTAGGTTAATAAGGCAGGACGTAGAAGCCTATCGAGGGCATAGAGATAACTAGTTTATCTATAGGTAACCGACTTAGTGCCGAAGAGACTCGTATCTTCCTAAATCGTCGAGGCAGAGTTAGTCGATATAGCGGGTAGAAGAGCCTTTATTAGATCGTCCGCCGCTTACTAGCTCTCGGAGAGCTAAAAGATTAAGGATAGTAATAGGGAAGAAGAAGAATAGGGGTTAATATCTATGCTCCTCTGCTTTTTATATAAGTATGGAACGGGCTTTCCTAGTTAAGCTTTTCTATAACTACTAATACGAGTTCTAGTAAATTTTCCTATAAGTCCTCCGTAGTATAACTTTAGCTATGTCTTAGCATCCTTTAGCCGGGCCGACTTATATACCTTTCTCCTCTTTCGGGGCTATAGTCTGCTATTGCTTAGCTAATTCCTATAAGCTAACCCTTAGAGGGAACGTCTAATAGTTTGCCTAAGTCTTTAGCTATCCTTTATATCGGATAGCTCGTATATCTTAGAGCATAACACCTCTAGCTTCTATATATACGCGCTAACTATATCCGCTATTTCTTTAAATCTACTAGCGGCTAACTTCTAAATTAGCAGCGGGACGAATCTCTAGAGTCTATAGTAACTAGGCGGACTGCCTCTTCCGAACTATATATATAGACTAGCCCTTAGCTCCCCTATAGTAGGAGTTAGGGGGTGAGCGTGACGTAGGGTTCTGCCTGTTGATTTCTCTTCCCTAGTCCTAGCCTGGGAATTATTTAGGGGTGGCGAAGCTTGCAGGGAAGGACGCCTTATAATAAGGGAAGGGCTGCTTACGCCGGCATCCGCTTTAGAAGAAGAAGGTAGCCTCTATAAGACCTACGTCTACGGCTACCGAGGTACGAAGATTTTACGATATCGGTTGGATATAATGGTTATAAAGTATTGGCAAATAGCAGGGGCTTTAAAGCGAGCGGCTCTTAGACGCGGTCTAGCTAATCAACCGATTTATCACGTTTACGCAGGGGCGAGTGTCCCATTTCTCGCCAACACGGGGCAAATACGACCCGTAAATTCAACAGTCCTTTACCGAAGATCCAGGGAAGAACTGCAAGTGCTACTCTATGGTCATGTTGCCGCCGGGAATAAAAGGCGTGGAGCTGCTTAACTTGTCTTGTTCTTTTTCTAAATACTTCCCTTGCCAGAGATCTACGACACGTATGTCCATTTCCTCGTTCATTTTGTCAACCCTCATTCTTCCTCGACATCCAGCATTACAATGGTTACAGAAGTAGTGGAAGTCCATGGTGGCCAGGATCCCCGAGTAGACTTGGACTACTGGAAACACCTGCTCGGCCCAATCATTGGTTCTCTTCTAAAATCGACTGGATCGTACTCGCCGGCCGACCAGGACGAGCACCTACGTGTCCTATCTGAATATGTCATCCCGAACCTTGGCCCACGGCCATCTGTGGCTCATACTAGCTCGTTTATAACGCAGACCGGCTGCCCTCTACAACCCTCAATTTATTTTTGTAGCTCCGGCAAACCTCTAGTACGCTATTCCTGGGAGCTACTAGGTCCCCGCGGCGGTAGTGATGGCGACCCATTTGCTATAGAGGCAGCACAAAAGATACTGTCTTTTCTTTCTACCACCGTTGGGTTCTGTACTCGATGGACCAACGCCTTGCTCTCGGCTTTCTCACCTACACCCGAAGAAGTAAAGGTCGTCCAGGCCATGATTCCGAAATGGTTGAAGAGCTTCGCGGCGGATGAACAACTGCCCCAAATCAAGCGACTTTGTTTTTGCTTCGTTGCCTTTGACTTGAAAGGCCCCAAGGCGTCTATAAAGGCGTATTTTAACATAAAGGCAAAGTCAATGGCAACCGGGGTCCCGGAAAACGAGATTACATGGAACGTTCTTAGAAACCTTATGCCCTCGTTTGATCCGGCCTTGATCGATACTCTTGGGCAGTAAGACTTGCCTATATTTATGTGTTGACTTTTGAGTAATACTGACTGGCTTGACCTATGAGATTTCTTGCCGAGAACCCCGCTTCTGCAGTCGACACAGTAGCAGTTGACTGCGTTGACGAAGCTAGTCTGTCAAATGCACGAGTCAAACTTTACGTCGTGTCTGCGAATAACTCTTTTAATGCAGTCCGGGATTATATTACTCTTGGCGGTCGTTTTCAGAATAAGGTCATTCTGAAGGGTTTGGCGCTCTTACAGGACATTTGGCATCTCCTGCTTCAAGAGCCTGAAGGTATCGTCAACGATGACTACAATAAACGCCCAAACCACTGCTCTCCCATGAGTTTATATATCAATTTTGAGATACGACCTGATACGAAGCTTCCTGAAGTCAAGATCTACTTGCCGCTTTGGAACTACGTACGGAGCGATGAGGAAGCTGTCAACAATTATGAGGAGGTCTTCCGGAGATGCGGCTATGAGTGGGGAAAGGAGGGGATGTATTGGAAAGCTTTTGAAAGTGCCTTGTACGCATTGCCCTTTCTCATCTAGTCTTGAATCTTCCCTCTACCACAACGCAAGGAGGCCCGGGTTGGCTAATCATGATTTCTTCAGTGGCCCGGTGAATCACAACCCTGAAAAGCCGATTCATTGCGACGCATCTTTCCTATCCTCGGAGAATAATGGGATCTACCAGACAGTGTACTTCAGTCCTCCGCTCAGAGCCGAAGCATAAGACTGGAGCAACGATGCTTGGTTACCATCCCCCACCCCTCTTTTAATAACACCCCCTTTCGGTAGGGAAACTGAGAATAGTCCCACTAAAAACCATCAATTTCACTTACACCGATTCCAACTAAAGTTAAAGATATTCGCAAGCCGTCACTTGGAGTAGATAGGGAATTGACTGAATTCTACTTTTTGAAGGTTGAATGTTTGTATAGGGCTCTGTGGTTTGTGTTTACTGTCACGACTCAACAAAGGTCCCAGTGGGCCATAGACCAATGTGTAGCTATTGAAGGTTGGGCTCACGCCCACACGCACCAACGGGCGCGCCCCTTGTCCTTAGAAGCGAAGATAATGCTATCGCCGTATCCGGAGGCACTAAATATGGTAGTTAACTAGTGGGATGCTAAGGAAGTTGCTTAACGGATCCGGGTAACCGTAAGCTGCTAGATTAGTAGGGAAACCTATTCTCCCCCGCACTTCGTATATATATATATAGTTATACCCGCGGACTCCCTCTTTTAAGCAGGATAGCGTAATCTATACCCTCTTTCTTTAATGCAAAGACCTAATAACTAGTAATAAGCACCTAGGACCTATAGTAGATATTATATAGTTAGCTATATTATAACCTTTAAATACTACTTACTAACGTTTTAAGAAATAGCTGTATAAGTAGTATAAGTTCTAGATCTTATTAGAAAAATAGGTATAGCTCTAGACCCTATACCTCTACCTAGAATAGTAATAGAAGTTCCTATAAAAGCGAACTAGTACTCTTCCTTTACTATAATTACCGGTATACTATTTATACGTTCTACCTTAGTTTTAATCCTATATAATGCTTCTTATTTTCCTATTACATCGCTAGCTCCGAGTTTGCTAAGATCTATAAAGTATCTCCTTTACCGGAGCTACGCTTATAAATACCGCTATAATATAATTCCCTAATAGCTACTTATATAAGTTATATCGCTATAAGAAACGCCTAATATATAGCGTAACCTAGCGGTAGAATTAAGATACGCTAGTAATACTATAAAGCGAAGGGGCTTCTATAATAATATAATAAAAAAGAGCTATAAGTAGTACTTAGACTATAAGTAGATATCTAAGCACTATATTACTATAATAGGGCTAAGAGAATAGAATAAGGAGGAGATAATAGCGTACTTATATTAGAGTAAAGCAAAGGATAATCGAGCTAAGTCTTAAGTTAAGAAAGAGATAGGCGACGACCCCCTAGCGAATAAGAGGAGAGGGGTAAAGATATATAGAAAAGCGCAAAAAGGGATAGTAAGGAGTAGTAAGCCGTGTACTCTACGGTTAATTAGGTTAAATATTATATAATAGTAAGAACGTAAGTTATTTTTATTTTTAAAAAAACCCCTCCGGAGCCACTATAAGCTCGCAGTATAATACTTCGTTACGAAACCGCGCTTTAAGGGGATTAGTTAGTGGGCGCGCCCGGGCGAGTCGCCCATGCTTACCCCTCCTTTGGCTCACCCCCCTTATGCTCCGCTAAATGACACTAACCTCACCAAAAATTCGATTCTTAACTGCCTGGATTTTAACGAATTTCGGAGATAAAAAATATGAAAATTTTTATACACGTGAAAGGCAGCAGCTTGCGAATAACTTTAAAATTGAGTAGATGACGTGTAAGTGAAGTTGGTCAATTTTGTATGGAGCGGCGCTATTTTTGCTGAGCATAAGGTTAAGGGGGAGAGGTGAGCCCTGCCTACTTTCTTCATCATGCCCGTGCTGCAGCACAACGGTCGTGTCACAGACACACGACCGCACTACCCCTCCTCCACGCACCAGGATTCCTAAGAGCTAAAGTATGTTGTCGCACCCAGCAAATGCCGGATGAAGCCTAGAGAGGGAACGCATATGCTAAACCCGACCTTTCTCCCGGTCTGCTGCATGTCAGCACCATCGGCAGAGACTTGGTAACAGCCCAACCAGCCGAGATCAGATTTCAAACGAGTTGACCATATCGTCCGTCATCCTAGGATGTCCTAACGGCTTAAGGATCCAATGGCGCCGATGGCAGCAGAGGGAACTCTATACCGAATCACCGTCATCAAGAAGAATGGGCGCTCGGAGGCTACGTCCTTGTAACGGTCTCAACTGAGTGTGTTGAGAACTAGCTGAGCGACTGCAACGAGTATCCTAAAGCTAAGGAGAAAGGAAAGAAAAGAAAGAAAAGAGAAAGATCTAGAAAGCGACGCGAGTTCTTAAGCGAAGCTCAAGGGCTCGTGTGGGGCTTGGTCGAGAGTAGAGCCGAGACCTCCACGGGCTCAGCCCGTTACAATACCCCCTCCGTCTCCTCCCTTTTGTGTGGTCAAGCACTTTAGGCGCGTGACACGCCTGGGATAAGAGAGTATATTTGCCTCTGTGAAACGTAGTGTAGCTCGCTTCTCTTTTGGCTTCGTCGAGTGGTATTATGCTCGACAGTGGCCCATTTCCGCCAAAAAGAGTGCCAGTCGTATATTGCTTGACAAGCCGACACAAGATCCAAAGTCCGGCTTGTAAAACTCCCTTGCAGCCTTGCCTGTGCTCCCCTCTTTGCCGTCGCCCTTTGTGTTCAGAAGTATCGAGTGGACCGCATTGCAACGGCATTTCTAGGCAGCCAAACCCGTAATCTTATCCTCAAGGCCAACTTTGTTGGCTCCCATCATGTCGTCGCACTTGTTTCCGTCCTTGAACATAATAAACGTCGGCATGGCGCGGACGCCGTACTTTTGGGCGACCGGGGCGACCTTATCCACATCGACGGAGACAAACACAATATCCTTGAACTGTTCCGAGAGCTGTTTGAATACGGGGCTGATGAGACGGCAGGGACCGCACCAGGTAGCCATAAAGTCGACAGCTACCCTCTGATTCGCCCTAAGAATCTCTTCAAACTGCTCCTCCGAGGTAATTTCTATGACGGTCATCTTATAAGCCGGTGGGTTTGCGGTAATGGTCAGGATCGAGGTCGAATCTGTGATCGAGTACGGAGTAGACTGGAGATACATTGCCCAGTCGCGGGGAAGCCAATGCGCTTATATCATCACCCTCGAGGACCGCGACGGAAAGCGTGGTAACAGCTGGCGAATAGATCGAAACCACGTCTGCGACATGCGTAGCCAGTACGAAGGTCGATGGGGCGCACTGGCGCAAAACTCCCCGGTCACAATGGGTGCAGGGGTATCGGGCGCCAGCGACCCACTTGTCTCACAAGTGAGTACTTGTCAGGACAAGAAAGGGCCTATAATACGCGTTAGTAACACCTCTATCGGGGGTGCCCTCATTTTGCATGGTGTAGCGGTATTTTTACCAGCTTGACAGTACTGTCCATCGAAGTGCCATGAAAAGGTTAGACCGAACGCCTGCGGGCGGCAGTATTACGTTCTTAGTCGAACGGTTGAGTGTCATACGACTCTCGCCTTGCCGCCTATTAGCACGCGGCAATCTCAGCCGCATACAAGGAATACAGGCGTTGCCGCTTCACCCCACCCCTTGACAGTCTTCGGCACCGGCCTCTCCTTCTTGGCAATAATCACCCTTGACTGTGGACCAGATCGTAGGTCTGCCGCCCTCGAAGCGCTGCCTGCACCGTCGGCCAAATCTGGTCGACCTGCAACTCGGAATCGGTCTCATCATGCAGTTCCAGCACCATGCACGGACTCGGCCGCCCGGTGCCCAACACGACGACCGATTTGACGAGCTCGTGCTTGCTGACGGCCTCCTCGAAGCCCGTCGGGTTGATGTTCTGACCATTGGTCAAGATGATGTTATCGTCGGCGCGGCCGGCAAACTTCCAATGGTGCGGCTTGGTCTGGTGTCGGATGAAGAGGTCCTTCATGCTATGCTCCTTCTCGTCCGGGAAGACTTGGAATATTAACTGCTGACGCGGCAGGGTATCGTCGCGCACGACGACGAGTTCGTGGTTGTTTCCGGAAAAGTGTCGCCACTCGATGCCGAGAGTCTTGTCATCGATACACATGTATTCACAGTCGGCATCGTCAACGCGGTAGCACGGCGTCCAGGGCATCTCCGTAGCACCCCATATGGTGGTGAGGCAGACGTGGCCGACCAACTGCTCGGCGACGTGGGGAGCCAAGGGGCCTATGGAATCAAAACTGTGTAAATAGCCAGCTCATTGCTACATGTGCTGTCATTTAGCCATCTCACCTCCGCCAAACGTGATGCCCTTCAGCTTCCTCAGTTGGCTTAAATGGGCGTCGTTTTCAGCAGCAAGAACCAGCCATGAAGGAAACACCGAGAGGTATTCGCACCGGCTCTGTTGAATCCAGCGTGTCATCGCCTCTGCCGTATATTCGCCAGCCGCAAGGTGAAGCGGCGGGATAACGCAAGTGGTGTTGAGGTAAACTGGCCTCACGATGGTCCTCGACATGCTCATGAGGTAGGCAGACAGAGAGCTGAGCATACGGCGAGGGGGTTTGTTTTCCGAGTTTGGCCGGTCGATGGGATGCACGGGCCTGCCGTCAAAGTCGGGTAGGTTGACGTTCATTCCTGCAGCGCAAAACCATGTATTGGTCCAAAGGATTGGCTTGGGAAAGCCTGTTGTGCCGGAAGTGTGGAAGTACTGCAAGAAGAGTGAATATGGTCAAGGTTGAGATGAATCATACAAAGCCTACAACTATAGGATCATCGGCCCCGTCCTCGAGGCTTCTGCCGTACGGGAAGTGGCTAACCGGCGTGGCATCCAGGAGTGTCCTGATATGGGGGAGGGCCACGCAGCAAAGACTGCACGCAGCCATCAAATCCGGCACGATAAACTCATCAGTATAGAAGAAGGCCTTGCAGTTAGTTTGCCTCATCAGGGACAAGTGAGCAGTAGTATCATTCGACGGCGCCGTAATCAGTAACTGTATTACATATGGAGTCAGAACAAACGGAATGTACACTGCGTGTGACACGGGAGGGTGGTGGACCGTAACGTGGCATTTTGTAGCTGCCAGGAGTAGAAGACAGTAGCGCATGTCTGCAAAGCCTACATACGCAACTGTATCGAATCGTCCAAGCCCAAGCTCGCGGCACCTGTCCTTGAGCCACCACGCGAGCCGGTCGATAGAGTTGGCCAACATGCCAAAGCTCAGCACCAGGATATCCTGGTCCAAGTGCGCTGGTTGGAGAAACTCGGCAAAGACGCGGTCGGGCTCCTGGCGCGCAACGTCATCGATGGCGGTTGCCATGAGCTTTACTTCCTTGCTCTTGTGCATTCTGGCTTGATATCTTTGGTCAAATACCGGGACGTTTGCCTCCGGATGGGTTAAGTCATGTATGGATGATGGACTCGTCGAGGTTGGATGCTTGTCCAGCTCCGTGTATGGGATGGGTAGGATTCAATTTACGTGGTTGAGCGTAGGGGAAACTTGCGCCGCCAGGATGCAGATGCGAGTACTGGGTATTACAGAGTATTGTCCAATGAAATAAATGCCGACATGAAGGATCTGCACAAGCTGGAGCGCGACCCGTTCTCTAATGTAGGGCACAGCAACCTTTATCTGCACCCTGCGGCCCGCGGGAGGGAGCTGTTTTCAGCTGAACCATAGCGAGGTAACGCCTGGGGCCATTATGCTGCATCCAGTCATCGAGATGGATGCCATCATGGACATGTTGTGCGACGAGAGATTCAACCACCTACGTACCAATCCTTTCTTTCTAGCAAGTGCATATATCTAGTAAAATCATGTACATGTAATTACTGCCTGTGACATAACTAATATAGTTTCTACAGTGACCTCCCAGAAACCTAGATTAATAGGGTAAACGACGGAACATATACGAAATAGACAAAGTCACCATTATATTCCCCTTTATTAGCCGCCGTCGATGCTCCCGCCCGCAGGCTACCGTATCCGCCCCAGCCGCCCTTTGGACCTCGACGCTGTCGGCGGCCTGTACGTGTCGTGCTTCGCCCATGACGCCATCGTCGACCTGCTCTTCCCCACGCACCGCGACTGCCCGCGAGACTTTCGTGTCCACATGTACCGCCATTACCAGCGCCGCTTGTGGACGCCCGGCTGGGTGCTCACCGTGCTGGTCGATGAGGCGCGCGGCGGCCTGCCCGTTGGATTCGCCTGGTGGAGGCGCCCCGAGGGGGACTTGACCTTGGCGGAGCGGTGGTTCACGTCGTGTATGCTTCTGTATTGTCCATACCCACGTTCTGTTGAGATGACCGTACCTTCAGACGCCTGGCTCGCCCCCCTCAAGCGGCTCTATGTGTCCTTCAAGGACTGCCTCTGGCCAACCGCCGTCCTCGCCACCAACGCCTCCATCCTCGGCCGTATCCTGGCCACAGTAGAGCTTCAGCTGCTCGAGGTCTCGCCGCCCCGCCACCTGGCCGCCGCCTGGTTCCTGTCCTCGTTCGCCGTCCTGCCTGAGCTCCAGGGCCGCGGGCTCGGCGCCGCGCTCCTCTGCCATGGCCTGCGCCGCGTCGACCGCAATAGCGCCCCGAGCTGGCTAGTCGGCATCGGGGGCGTCGATTACTTTTACGCGAGGCACGGCTTTGTCGAGGTTGCGAGGGCTAATGTCGAAGAGCTGGCTGGCTGGGAGGGCGGCACTGTTATGTTTAGGCACTCCAAGAGCCACGTCTCTCCAGCTTAAAATACATACCTATACTTGCGATATGTGACGCGTGCGCGAATTTGCCTTGCTCCAAAGACCCTCAACCGCCCAAGGCCAGAACCGCTGAAGTCAAGTTTTGCCAGCCATGTGTGCCACCAGACATATATCTAGACGTTCCTCGCTCACTATAAAGTCGGTCGGGACATGGACGTGGCCGTCGCGTCCGAGCATCATCTCCGCAACAGCCAGGGCACAGCGCGGGGCCACCGGCATGCCACATCTCGAGTAGCCGGCGCAGACCCACAGTCCCGGCCCGCCTCCGAGCCGTTCCGGCACCGGCCCCACCCACGGATGTCCATCTCTGGAATAGCCCATGATGCCCGTCCATTCCCATGCTGCCACGAGCTCTTCGTTTTCCCGTCGGCCATGTGGCTTGAGCTTCACGGCAGAGGCCAAGACACGGCGCAGCCTCCGTCCGACTCGGGCATCGACCTCGTCATCTCGCGACACTCCCTTATCTCCTCCGAGTCGCTCGCCACCCAAGATGAGTAGGCCGCCATCGCGTTGAATCAAGTAGCCGTCGACGTCTCCCCTGACCCATACATAAGTATGCTCCAGTGGCCTGGCGTCTTCCGGCGCTTCCAAGGCACAGATCTGGCCCCGGACCGGCACAATGCAATCGGTGAAGCGGGCGAGCAGGCGAGACGTATAGGCGTTTTTTGCGATGAGGACCTGGTTGGCAGTGATCTGGCCGCGCGGCGTGTCGAGTGTCCATGACGATTCTGCGCGCCGCAGCTGTGTTACTGGTGTATTTGTTTGGAGGTTGAATTCGTCTGCTGGGTGCCCCTGCAAATGGTCCTCGAGAAGCCAGCAAACGAGCTTGTATGCCCAACACTTCGCGGCATCTGATTGGAATACGGCGCCGGCAAGAGCCAGAACACGGTTAGTCTCCAAACCGGCCTTGTCCGTCACGAGCGCCGCCTTGGTCGCGAGATCGGGACAGTCTCGTCGCAACCGTTCCAGCTACTGCCTCGCAACTTCGACGGCCTCAGGCGATGTCAGGCCACGGACACATCCAACGGTGCGCCAAGCGCATGGAATGTCGTTGGCGGCAACCAAGTCCTGCAGAAACTCAAACGTGGCCAGCTCGAAGCGAGGAATATGCGGCTCTCTGTTGAAGACGTGGGGTAGGCAGTGCCCGCCATTCTTCAATTGTCGTCGACCTTGTTAGTCTTGGAACAAACAGCAGCGTCGAAGCTTACTCTGCCAGCTGCACCCCAGCAGGCCTCTCTCGCCTCCAGCATCACGACTTGCCTCCCGGCTCCAACGAGCTCCCGGGCTGCAAACGCGCCGGTGATGCCACTTCCCACAGCTACCACATCTGCCGCTTTGGGAAGTTGTTGGGTACTTTGGTGGCCCAGAAGCGTCTTGGACGGTTCATGGTGCCAATAGGATCTCATGCTTCTGGGCGTGGGTAGTTCAGCCTGCCTCTCTCTCGGCTGGACTGAGCCCATGGTTGACTGTTGCTTAGGCGTCTTCACCGCCCCCGGTGTGATGGAAATAGTCAGTAGCCCGGCCACACTCAAGTCTAGCGCTTCAGGTTTCAATCAAAAAGCCACGGGCATATGTATAATGGCCTCGGTCCACGTGAAAGTAACAAGCGGTATATCAGAAGTCAGAAGTTGGCGCCTTGGACAGTACATAGCTACTCGAATACATGTACGAATAGGCGCCCTCACTGGAGCATGATCGACGGATGCATGCATCATGCGTGCGTTGTCCGCCAACCCCGCACAGTCTATCACACCGGTGCTACGTGCCTCCAAGTGAGAACGTGGGAAGGCCAGATTGGGTTATAGAAGCCCGCTAAGCCGGGGTCATGCTATATCTCAGGAGCTATATGTCCCACGACTATCGGGTATAAAGGAAGAAATGGATAGAAAAGGTCCAATAGATATCAAGCAGTAAGGCATTAGCTCACCGCTCTTGACTTTCTACTTTTGGCATGCTAGTGTTCCATTGACATCATTTTCCCCATCTCTTCGTAATGGCCATTTCCTGGTTCCAGGCAGCTTGCTTCGAGACAACTAGGCGACTCCTGGTACAGCTTGTCAGTGAAGGGCTGGCGGAAGCAACAGTCCAGGTCGTGCAGCCTTCAGGGCAGCAGTGCCTCGTTCTAACCAGCACCCAGAACAAGCCTCAAGATGGCTGGGTCAAAGTGATGCTACTCCCAGACACACATATGGGGCTCCAAAGCAACCGGGTCACCACCGTGGTTAGGTTAGAGACTCTACAGCCGCCCGTGACAATAGGCGGGAATAAAATGAACTCTACTGGATGGCCGGCCTTAGATCCCCGCGTCATCTTGGAACATATGCGCTCCCGGTTCCCGGACGTGACTGACGACCGCTTGATAACAGACATGGCAACCGAGTTGGAAAACTCTAGTAGGAACCAAGGTACGTCGGTCCTGTTCCGGGGTCCGGGGTGATATAAACTGCTCACGGCTAGCAGCCCAATGGCTAGAAATAAGTGCAAATGTAAAACCATCGGACCTGTCGTGCCGGTCGTGGGAATGGGAGAGTACGTTGGTTTATGGGCATCCAACTCACCCAGCGCGACATCCCCTGGCCCAGAGACTGCACCAGAACTGATTATACCCTCAAAGTACCATCGAATGTTTTATCCGCAATCACCTCTATACCCTTTCGACCCGAGAAACTTGATAGATGTCATCCACCCATCGCTAGTCTTCGTCGCGGTCCCTCGCACCGACCTGCGTATCTCGGGTGCATTCAAGGAGACGTTGGAGCCCCTGCTCGCCGGACTGGGCATTTTATCAAGCGCCGGCAAGCACGAGTTGATTGTGCCTTGCCTAGCCCAGCAGCTTCCCGCCGTCCAGCGATACTTTCCCCAAGCTAGAGTGCTCAAGACGGTCTCGGAGTGCGCAGATGCGCAGGCCTCGATGCGTACGCTGACACTGCGCCCAGAGCTTGACTTTCCATTCCATCTCAAGCTGTCTCTTGCGTGTCGCATCACATCTGCAGTGCGAACAATCTCCCCACTTGCTGCCATGGCGGGTCCCGCCATAACAGACCTGCGGGCGAAGCTTCTGCCTCTAGACTTTTGGGTTTTCCGAGAAGTCGGAGCTGTGGCCGGCAATCAAGCGGATTCTGCTCACGCGAGACATCTATGTTGCATCCTCCGTGACGACCTCGAAGCTAGGGCCAAGGCAAACAACGAGGCATTGATCATCGCGGCAGCTCTAGCGCAATGTCCATATCCTCTAGGCAAAAAGCGCTCTTACGCTGAAATATTATTCAACCTAAGAAGCCACGAGGAGAAACGTAAATGGTTTAGAAGGTAATGCTAATAACTTACTCTATAACTGCAAAAGCCGAAAGCGAACGCTATGGTTGATAATGACCCGTCCCTTTTGCTCTCATTCTAGATATGTTGCCTGCTTATTTCGGGCCGCCTTGCCACCCCTCGTCCATCTGGGAATCGGGCTTGAAGCACATGGCCAGAACATAGTTGTCCGGGTATGCCTTCACAACCGGGCCTTCAAGGGCTTTGCAATACGAGACTCTGACGGGGTTCTTCTGCATGTGCTTACGTTACGGCGAAGCGGAGTAGTGTTTGACTCAATTCCTGCAAACAGCGACGCATTCACAGAGGATCTATTCAAGTTATGGTCGCGTGTGCATCAAGCATTGCTACAGAGTCATGCTGCGGCCTTGATGAGCTCCCTGGGGCTCGAGAGACACGGTGGATGGGCTATTGTCCAGGAGGAGTTGGGCGACATGTTAAACATGAGCAAACCAGGGCGAAGGCTTCACGACTTCTTTCTCGGCGACACGATGCCCTTCATGTGCTTCTTGCGCTTGCGAATGGAGGAAAGGGGCTACGATGCAAGTGTCCGCACTCCCGCTGTTTAGAACTTGGCGCACTTCTAACCACTGTGTAGCACGTCGAAAGGCAGCTCCCAAATGTGCTTTTCATGGATTCACCTCGGCTTTGCAAGGGGCCTGAGCCGACGGGTATCCAAAGGTGGTGTTGGGGTCACCAATTCCAGGTACCAAATGTTCTCAATTGTAACTAGATCATGTAAAGGCCATATAGGGAGTTCCCTCCGGGCGAAATAAAACCATACCATACCGTAGGTATGTTTAAGCATGAGTGCCGATCCTATTGCGGGTGATGTGTTCGTTAGCCGCGCTCCTGTTGCCTTTCGCGCGCCTAATTTTTGTCCTCCGGTAGGCGCACTAATCATCGCCTCACTCGGCACTACCGCCTTGACTCTTCACTATCGCCATCAGACCAGCGCGACGCCTCCTCTACAGTCCTCTCGCTCAGTATCTCGAGCCTACCCTATACGGCGATTTTCTCCTCGAGGACTTAACTTAGTTGCCGCCTTCCTTTGTTATTATACTTTCCTAGCATGTAATTGTTAAGAAAGTAGCGTAGTTTTTTACTAATTTGCTTAACATCTGCACCCTGAACACTCAAGCCGCGCTTCGCGCTAGCTTTAGCAGCGGCTATGGTATCCGCCACGAGCTCGTATGCTAGCTCAGATCCCTTCGATCTGGGTGCTTATACCCCGCCTAACCTCTAGGCAGGACGGTCTGATCGTTAGTCAAGGCCCAACTTCATCATCGACACTGGGGAAGGGTGTCTCGGTGTAAGGCACATGACCGCCGAGCCGGCCTTTAAGCATCCTATTTATTATAGCGGTGACAATCAATTAAGCCTTTAAGGAATTCTACTATAGAGCTCTAGGGAGCTTAGGCTTAGAGAAAACCTAGGGTCGTCCGAAATTACTTTCCTAAGCCCGAACAACCTAGAACAGCTCCTAGAAGCTAGGGCTAAGGGCCTAGGCAAGCACTATACGTCTATTCGAAAGACCCCCCGCCTAGCCTTTAGCCCGGAAAAGGACCTTATAGGGAGGCCTAGGCTAACCCTTTCGGCCTTTTACTAGCTTCTCTTCGGGGCTAGCTTCTTATTCTCTTTCCTAAAAAGGACTAATAAGGTAGACCGAGACGACTGCCGCTACGGCTAAGGAAGGCATACGGCTAGGCACCTTATCCTAAGGTGCCCGAACTATAGGAGGGAAAGAGAGGTCCTTTATCGGACCTCTAAGAGATAGAAGGAGGCCCTTAGCCTACTTTTTCTCTATAGCTCTAAGGAAAGAAGGGAAGCCCTTTTAACCTTCTTAGCTAAAATAGAGATAGGAATAGCTAAGTAGCTCGAGAAGGAGTAACCTAGGGGCCCTAGGGCCCTTAAAGGGGAAAAACACCGCGCGGGAGGAACTAAACTAACCTTTCCTTTATCTTTGCCTTTATAGCTACTCTTAAGTAAGGGCTTAAGAGCATAGTAGAAGAAGTAGGGGCATAGAAAGGTAAATTTAGTAATATATATCTTAGTCTATCTATTAGGATAAGGGAGGGGCTTATATAGGTATAGTAACTATATATAGCTAGCTAAAAGAGGGCATTAAGATATTCCTATACCTAAGTTAGGCCTATATAATATCCTTAGGCTAAGAGAGTTATATTAGTTAGGTAGGCTTCCTTATATATAACTATTAGGTCTACTAAGTATAACTATAGCCTCTTATACCTACTCTCTTTAATATACCCCCTTACTACCCTAGCTTTTAGATAGTAGGGTAATAAGTAGAGGAGAGTTTAGTCTAATAAATATAAGGCTATTCCGATATTAAATTCGGCTACTTTATTATTTATTTAAGGAGGTTATCTAAAAATAAGGGAGGCTCCTAATTATATCCTATAAAAAGGGAAGGTAAATATAGTAAAAGGGAAGTTTATTTAGCGGCTAGTACTTAAATAGTATATATAAAAAAAATAAAAGCCGGGACCTAAGGGAGAGGATATAAGGAGAAGCCCCTTATTTCCTCTCCCCTTAGGTCCCTAAGTTTATTGCCTACGCCCTCCCTAGGGCGTAGTTATATAACCTACTCTTTCGCCTTAGGGGGAGTCGAACTTACGATTAATAGGGTTATATAACCTACTCTTACCGTTTAACTAGTAGTTATAAGTTATATTTATAACCTTCCTTATAAGGAGGGGTATAGCAGGGCATCCCTTTAAGTAGCCTAGGTACTATAGTACCTTTGCCGGCGACGTAGTCCTTTAGGATAAAAGTAATCTTAAAGGTAGGCTTTTTAATAATATATTCCTTATATTAATTAGTCTTAATTTAGTAAAGCTATTGCGATTATCGTAAGTTTAAGCGCTATAGTATTATACTATTTAAGGGGTAGTCTAGTAATAGCTTTACTTCTTAGTAGTAAATAGGGCTAACTTCTACCCCCTAGATCTTTATAGTTTCTTAACTAAATTAAGATCTAACTACGCTATTAGAATCCCTTAATCTTAGTATATATAGTAGTGCTTTTATTATTAGGATCTAGCGATTATTAAGTTTACTATAGTAAGGAGATATTATACCTTAATACGGTAGTTAGGTATATTATCTCCTAATATATCTTCTAGCTATATTACTAGTCCTAGTTACTTAATAAAGCTTTAATACTTTTAGTATATAAGCGCCTTTATTATACTATTAGCTAGGTTATCTACTAATACGATCTAGCTAACTTATATCCGATCTTACTATACCTCTTAATAAAGCTAGTATCTATAAATATTAACGTGCTTAAGGTTTATCTTAAGCTTCGCGTTTAATTTATTTAAAAGCCTAATAGTTTAAAGGTTATTATACTAGAGCTCTATAGTCCCTTTAATATTAATACTAAGCTCCTTAATTAGCCGGCTAAATACTACTTATTCCTTAGCTATCTATAAGAGTACTAATAATTTAGCTTTTATAGAGGACGTTATTATAGTATCTTACTTAATAGCTTTCTAGTTAATTAGCCTATTAAGGAGTAGGAATATATATCCTTATAAGGACTTCTTAGTCTTTAAGTTATTAGCGTATAAGGAGTTAGATATATATATTAGCCGCCTTATTAGGTTTATTACTATAAAGTAGATATAGTAGTTTCTTATATAATAAAAGTAAGCTAGGCACTTATATACTTTATGCCTATAGCGTAGCCTAGGGTTATAATTATATTAAGCTAGCTTTCTAGCTATAAATATAATATATAGCTTAGTATAAATTACTAGATAAATAAGCGACCTAATTAAAGAGATATATTTATAGATCTCTTCCTTTAAGGCCTACTTTTTATAAGGGACGAGCTCTTTTATTATTAGCGGGATCTTAGGCTTATAAAGGATATTATTATTAAGGATATAATATTTCTTTACGGTCTTAGAGATATAGGAAGCTTATAAGAGCTATATCTTCTTAAGATCTCTATCCCTTATAATCTCGATACTAAGGAACTAGTATAGCTCTCTTATATATATAACGGTATATTTCTTTATAATAGCTTTATATAGCTCTTCTTAATCTTATTTTTATACTTTAGGATATATTATAACGATATTATCTATAATAATAAAGATATTAACGCCCTTATAGACTAGTATATAGGCGTCTTTTACTAGCTACTAAGCTCTTAGTTTAGTAAAGAAACTAGATATCTCTTTAAACTATAGCTTTAAGGAGATATAGAGCTTATATAGTACTTTTAATAGCTTTAGGTATAGCCTAGGTATTAAGAATCCCGGTAGAGGCTAGTAATAGACTTCTTAGCATAGGATTATATATAGAAATACTATTTTTACGTCGTATTATTCTATCTTAAAGTCCTTAAGGTAGTAGAAGGCTATTAGTAGTCGAAATATTTATACTTATAGTATAGCTATATATATATCCTCGTTACCTATAAGTTATAGGTCTCTATAAACTATAATACGTGCTTTAAAGCGTATAATATACCCTTATTTATCGGTCTTATATATAAAGACCTAATATAAGGGGATTAAGAAGTAACCTTTCTATTTAATAATAGCTTTTAGGATAGTCTTCTATATACCCCTTACTAGGTTTTCCTCTATTTCGCGGTCTATAGCTTCCTTTTACTTATATACGAATTCTAAAGCTATTACCGCGTTAAAGAAAGTAGGGGGAGGCGGTATATCTTTAACGTAAAGCTTATACTTACTTACTTTTATAATAATATTATTAATAAGGGATCTCTTAAGCCTATAAGCCCGTTTTCCTTTAATAACGTTACTTAGGTTAATCCCTTATAATATATCCTTTTATCTACGTTATTTTTATATTTATAATATCCTTAAGCTAGCCTTATTAACCGCTAGGTTAAGGGTATAGGGTTCGGACTAAGGGTTATCTTCTTAAACCTATACTATAATTATTCCTTTACCCCTTAGGTTAAGAGGTCTATTATTGCGTTTATCTTAAGGAGATAAGTCGTTTAATATAGGTATCGCGTCTTTAAGCTATCTCCTTAATAAGATATAGGAGGGGTTGCTAGCTATAGTATCTATTATAGGCGTAGGAGGTATAGAGTTTAGTAACTCTATATTAAATATAGTATTAAGTAGAAGGGGTAATATTAAATCTCTATCCTTAGGCTTACTATTTCTAGAAGGGAAAGATATATATATCTATATAATCCCTATAAGGGCGTCTTTAATCCCTAATCTTCTAGAGTATATAAGGGCAATAGGTCCTATAAAAGAGTAATTACTTCTTCTAGCATCTAATTATTATTTATATTATCGTTAAATAAACTTAGTACCTTAAAGGTTTTAGGTTCCTTACTATTTATAACGTTAGTTATAGCTATATCTTTAAGGATATCGTAGCTATATATTTAGACTAGCTAGGCTTACTCTTCTCTTTTTATATCGTAGCTTATAGACTTATTAAACTATATATTAGCTAATACTATTAGTTTATTCTATCTAATTAACGGTATCTATATAACGTATTATTAAGTAGACCTATAGCTTACTAAGTAGCCGATATAAGCTCTCTACTTAAAGGGTAACTACGTCTTATATAACTTAATATATTCTAATACTATAATTATTATTAGGAACGCTATATAGCTAAAGACCCTTAAATATATAATATTTAGTTTAATATCTTTAATATAGTAATATAGTAGATTATCTTCTTTTATCTAGGTCTACTAAC